TATATTATCTAGAATTTTAAGAATAATTATTAATTCACTCTACAAATAACACCAGTTTTGACATTATTCAATTTTAAGTTGTTAACCTTCACTTTAACAAACCATGATTTTTTTAAACCCAGCCTTTGAAAAAACAGCCCGTTTTCAGTAAAGTAGAACTATTTGCACACCGATCTGTTGTAGCATAGGTGAGTGTGAGTGTATTGACAAACATCGCCCTGGGGACGCTTCGCGAATTGCGTCATGACACACGATTAAGGGGATTATTTCGACCCTCGCGCGCGCGTCCCTTCAGCATTGCCGAGGAACTGACCTACCCTTGGCGCAGACTACTGCATGCCGCGCACCGCATCCCCTCGCGCTAAGGGTGGCTGCCCACGCCATCTGTCAGCGCCCAAGCGGCGCTCCAGCTTCCCCAGATGGCACAAGGGTGCACACCCTCGCCCCAGTGCTTGTCCACCCCGACGCTAGGGTGCATCGCCTTGCCCAATTCGAAAACTTGTAATAAATAAGAGCATAATGCCATTTTAATTTGCGCCAAAACGAGCTAATTTCACTAATTTGCCTGGTTTTAAAATGTTGCCCCTAATTCCGTCGGAGGGTGATTTTGGTGTTTTTCTCCCTTCCAGACCCTTTCTCAAGGGAGAGTGCAGGAAATCCGGTCTTTTAACTCTTAGCGAGAATGTCTTTGCCACAACAATTAGCAATGTGCATTTGGAGCGAGCAGGCTGCCCACTTGAGCTTTCACCCTTTTCCGCCGACCGCTCTCTGGAAGGGTCTTACCAACTACGTAGTAATTATAGCCGCTCAAAAGTTATAAATGATTTTACTAGTCCCAGACGAGTGTCTTCTCTCTGGTACTGGCTCTCGAAATGAATTTAAATGTAATTATTTTTTGTTCCAATTTCTTTTGATGAAAAAGCGAATGTTAATTGAGATTATCTATAGATTTATTTATTTTTGTGTAAATTGCAGGGTGAAAATAAAACTTGATCCCTTCCTTTCGAATAGATCAATTTTTTTTTACAAAAATATCATCTTTGATAACGAGATTTCAAGAAATAGATAGTTAAAGTTTATAGTTTAAATTAATTTTCATTTGCGAAAAATATGTGACTGTAGATAAAAATACCTATTGGAAACTTTTCAAACTTTTATTACATTTACGTTTGTTAATTTATTCATCATATAAAGCAGGTGTTTTAACAGAAAATATATCAAAAGAAGCGTGATTCCTAAATCAATGCATAGTAATTTTTAATGCATAGTTTACATTCAGAAATTTATATTCAAATAATTTAATTTTTGTACACGATTTTGTTACTGAAATGAACAAATTTCTCTTTTCTGCTGCTGAATTGCAGTTTATTTTTTAATTTAACGGTTTTAGAAATTTCTTTGTAGTGATTAATTTAAAAAGAATTGAACTTTTGCCTGTCAATATTTTACGCTTTTGATGAAAAAGAGGCAGTGGTGAACGGCAGCTGCAAATTCAATTTTGTATCTTTGGCATCACGCATGAATAAATACATACGGTCGAGTGCGTGCAGAAATTTAATCTCTCGTTCATTGAAAAGCCCTTTAATTTCATCCTGCCCATGGCGTGTATAACATAGAACGCAAAACACAAACAATAAAGGGTCGCAGCAGTGGGGCAAACAATGTCGCGTTTTACTGGCAAATGAGGAAATTTTAATACCAGAGTGTGGCGCTATTGTGTATTCTGTAAAGTCATCTGCTCGTCGTCGGCACGTCGCGGAATATCATTAGATCAGTAGTCACGTTATTCATAAGCGCACACAGCAATATCTCAAGACGACACAACAACAACTTTTATTATTACAATAAAAGTCAGTTTGCCCCCTTCGATGCGGCCGTGCTGCATCGTCAGTAACGAGCCGAGTAATTTGCACGCGTAGTGCGTGATAAGCATTTGACCCTGGCAACCAAATAGAGAGCGATTTCCACCCTTTGATGAGACAGGGTGGGTGCGGTCTCTTTGTGCGCGACGCTGAATTAGAGGGAAGCCAATTACAACGGTGCAGAGTGCTACTAGGCAATCGTGAATGCAGCGCTCCATTGCTCTTTTCATATTAATATCACAAGCTCATTACGAATCGCACAATAATTTGTTGTTCTTTGTAGTCAGAAAAATTCAGAGCGGGATAATAGGTTTTGGTTCATTCTATTTTTATATAATTAAATTTTATTATTTAGATCAGAGGAACCTGATTAGCAGATATTTGTGATTTTATATAAAAAGAGATTTTTTTTTCTAAATTTTTAGAAAAAAGTTATGGGAATAACATTACATTAATTCACATTAATTTATTAAAGATAAGTTAACCCTTTGGTTAATCTATTTATTCTTCATAAAGTAAGACTGAGTAAGACATAGGAAAAATTAGGGCCTAAGTCTTGTGTTTAACAATTTCCACCGTAAGTGGCGTAATTTGTTTGTAATTAAGCAAACTACGGCAAAAAGTCTTTTTTAATAATTTCTCTCAATTCTGTTAAAGGATAACATATTATTATTCTAAAATTTACCATACAACCTATTTTCAAAGAAGAAAAATCTCAATGTTTTAAAATATTTATACGATATTTTACTCCGGCTAAGTTATTTTACTGAAAGCTTCTAATGAAATTTGATTAAGCTATCGTCGAAAAGCATAATTAAAACTTTAATACATGCATAAAAGCCTCTAAGTCTACCCAATATTACAAAAAGTTGTCAAAATATTTCTCAGAAACAAAAAGTGATTAAATTAAAATAAAAATCTTTGTTCATTGAAAGTTTAAAAAAATTTACCTTTAAATTAATATTAAAAAATTTGCTAAAGATCCATTGAAAGATGAATTATAATAAGATTGTTCGCCAGTCAATAAACAGTTCATCAAAAAATTTTAACCATCATTTCCATTACTCCTTTTTAAGAATACAGCTAGGTAAATAATGTAAATAAATAAAAAATGTAGTAGTTTTTCAAAATTGTGATAAAATCGAATTTTTGCACTGGAAAAATGTGACTTATCCTCCGAGCTCAAAAGTAGGTTAATTGTTTTGAGCTAATAATTTTATTCAGGTTCAGCCCAGGCAACAATCACATTGGAGCATCTCACACGCGGTTTGCCTTTACACTTACAGATCAAAGCGTGCCTCGCTTGAGGACAATTTCACTCTCTCGAATCGGAGCAATCGCTCAGCTATGAAATAGCTCGGCGCCATTGTCTCTCACTTGCCCATATCGAATTACACCGAGTGCAACAGTCATATTGTAAACACGTCTGTGTGCTTGTTTGTATCATGCTATGTGTGTGTGCAAATGCGAACCGACACAAAGTGCATTAGTAATAATCTGCGCGGCTCATATCAGCCCGAAGTGGCGTGTCTGGCAATTCAAATGTATACGTTTTGGTTTGTAGCGAAGCGTGTGTGTTTGTGTTTTGCGCGCAGAGAGACAAATTAATAAACAAGCTGCACTACCATTTCAATTAGCTCGTTAATCACATTACGCGCGACAGCCATTCTCTCTAATGGCGCGCGAAAAAATTATTTCCATTATGCATTGTATTATATTGCAGTGGTCGATGCTAAGTAATTACTTTTACCCTAACTGGAGCAACAGTTTTGCAACGAATGATCCGAAACATTACCATGATTGAAAAATGCCAATTAATTTTTTACTCTAGACTGGACATTCTTTGTACTTGTCCAACAGAATATAAATTAAAATATGCTAGAGAGCAATATTCAATCTCGTCGCTTAATAAAAAATAAAACTAAAAAAGTTTTGTTAAAAATTTTAAAAATTTTTATGTTTGATTTTGTGTGCTACTTATTGGATTATTTCTAGAATTCTTTAACAATAGAAAAAATTTCTTCTCTTATTAATAAAATGAAGGTAAAAAATATTAAAAATAGAATTTGATTCTTTGATGTTTGGTGAATATTTTTTAATGTGTGCAGAAATATTGTAGGAATCGATTATCATATTAAGTACGAGTCCTTCTTTATATTTCGGGCACGTTGAATAAATTGTTCATTCGTTATAAACTGGAGCTTTTGCAGCTCACGTGTATAGCAAGTCACTGGAGGACACATAAATGTACGAATGTTTTTTAAGCTTGCTTCTCTCGCACACACGCAGTTTTCTTGTAGCTCTCTCAGCACGGCATTTTCCCAAAGGGGCCTCACGTTGCCCTATTTTGATTTTGTTACCTAGATCGTGTCCTAGCTTTTTTCTTTAACACATCACAATCGTAGAGCAGCCGAGTAAAAATGGTTGCAGCTGCAATTGACAGGCGCTGCGCTCTCATTGCCCCTGTGTAATTGCCGCGCCGAGAACATATCCATTGCGCTCCAAATGGGTGCTCCACATTTTTCGCTGACTCTCGAATGCACTCGGGAAATCGCAGCTCTCTCACGTGAATTGCACCGTTTTCAGTGTGTTTCCACTACTATACTTATCAAGTGATTTCATAGCGAATCGAGGACGGTTATTTGCACTCGAATAATGCATTCATTTATCTGCGACAGCTCCAATTATCTGAGCCAAATAGGGCATGTTTGCATTAGAGCTTTACAATTTAATTTTAAAAAAAAAAACATTCAAAGGATTAAACTGGTAATTTAATTTTGAAGCTGGCAAAATTTCTGACTATCTTCCTAATGAATTTCATCCTGATGGAAAGTTACTCTAGATTTTTCAATAAAATTCAATTTAAACTTTTATGGACTGCCTCTGGATATTCTTATCAAATGCTTTTGACAAGCATTTATAGTAAAAATAATTTTTTTATACATTTTAAATTATCTAAATAGTAAGGGATGCCAGATAAGAAAATATTAATGCACTTTGAGGGGTGCCCAATTGTGTGACAACTGCCCTTAATTCCTAACAAAACACAATCTGGGCGATCAAAAAAAGTTGATTTCTTAGCTATGCCCAAATTCGTGACACAATTAACGGTAAAGATACATACATACTGATACATACCTTAAGTTATTTTCAGATCATTTCAATCTAAGGAGGGTGGTTCACTCTTGCGGAGGGTCGTGTTTTTCTCACCATTTTGGGACGGGAAAATCTCGCTGTAATAAATAATTATCAGGTGTGACAAGAATTAAAACTCAAAACAAAACTCACCCCTGCCGTACGCCAGCTCGGAGGTCCTGGTCCAGTGAATCCGGTTTTGGCAATTTTATCGCCGATTTTCGCTACTTCCGCCGACTTTTCATGGCACAAAATCATTCCGCAACACTTAAGATACACGTTGAAATCTCTTTAAAGACCTTTTCATAACTTAATTGGAAGAAATTAGCGTTAAAATGGCACAGGTGGCAGAATGAAAACCTCGTGGTGTGATTTATCACCCGATTTGACAAACAATGAACGCAATTGGCCGACCAATCACGTGACTTGTTACAATCATCTGTTAATTTCTGGAGGGAAATAATCAGGTGGTGGCCCCAGATGTGGCGGGAAGAGTGTTTATAAAACATCTGTTTTTGCCATTTTCCCATGGATTTCAATACTATAATCTCATCAAAAACTGTGCTGATAGTCATGAAAGCGTGCTTTTGAAGTGATTTGAACTGTGCTCTATAGTCGGCAAGAACCCTCAAAAGTCCATTTAAAGAAGAATGATGTGCTCAAATTCGGATGAAACGCGTGGAAGCCGTGAAACTCGCCACAAGGTAAGTCTTTTCAAATTACTCGATTATGAACGTATTGTTGGTTGTATATTTGTCCACATTCTTTACATTCAATTGAGCCGTTCAGGGGTGGGATTTTCCTGTCCCAAAAGGGCGAGAAGACTCGCTGCCCAGCGTAATTAGGTGATAAAATAATTCTTCTTAAAATAAACCATCAGTAAAAAATTCCAAAATTAACTCAATGTTTCAAAATTTTTAATCACTGAAATCGATTCGGATTGCATTTTGTGGTCATTTTTATTCAACCCTTTTAATTGACGAAGCAGAAAGTTCTACAATACTTTGAGATTGAAAGGGAACTAGAACCACAAGATTGGAATTAAGCAATTTTTTTCTACGATTTGGCAGTTCCGGGAGCACTTTTGCGCCAGGGCAATTCGCTCATGCATATTTCATGGGGCCGCTCTTTCGACGGACGAGTTTCTATTCATTGAAATTTTAAGGGGCATAAATTGAGACGCGCCTTGCGGGATATTCTATCGTCGGCCCAGAGGCGCGCACATTCTTCTCCAACTCTCCACTGCAGCAAAATAAACCCTTCGCCGCTCTTTTTATGGCGAGCAGGTGCTTTCGCTTCATACACCTGTGCGGCTCGGCGCTGATTGGGAAAATACTACAAAAGTGCCGTTTGCCCGCTTTTTTCTCTCCGCCTCACCTGGGCAGGCAGACTTCGTTTCGCCGAACAAAGATATTTACAGCACATTTCTGCAAACTTTTCGCCCTTCACGACCCCATATTAAAGAGCAATTTCCTCCCAAGAGCAGTCGTTGCAAAACAAACTTTTTCACGAGAGCCCAACTTCGTCTTCTCCTTATTGATATGTCAAAATATAAAAAAAAAAATGCTATTAAAAAATCTGACAAAAGGAATATAAATCTATAAATTATTCAGTTTGTAACAAAATGTCAGTTTTATGAAGAAAATGTGCAGCGATGCGAATTTTACGTGAACTTTTTTTGGAAACCAAACTTGATTGATTTTCAAATAATAATGGAATAAGTTGTAGAAGAATGTATTAGAAAATTATTATTACTTAGAATATCAATAAAATTATTTGAAAAAAATTCAGATTTGTAGTAAATGAAAATATTTCTATTTATAAATTAACTTTTGTTGACCAAGAATGTCAACTCCAAAAGTAATTTAGAGTTTGCAAATTTTTCTTTTAAAGTTCAACTGCCTTGTCTGGTTGCAATGAGTTGCAATAAATAATAATATTTTAATCTAAAAAATAAGTTTTTTTCAATTAAATAATCTTAAATTCATCTCAAAAAGGAGCTGAACAAACAGCAAAATGTCGTTGTGACAACAGATGCGCCTGAAGTCATTACCGCGAGTGGATTTTAATTTGTATTGACGGGGCGAAAGTCGTGTGGGAAGGAAACGCGAGCGAGAGCGTCAAAGGCTGGCTGCTGCCTTTACACTCACGTAATGCCGATTGTCGTCAAGATGCGAACGAATTCCCATAGGAGGCACGTGAAGGAAGTGCCGCGGCGCGCACTTGAGCAAATTTAATGAGAACGGAATTTCATTAGGCTCGGCGACCGACGAGAGGAATTCCACGCGTGCATGTGACTCTTGCGATGAGAGAGAGCGAGAGTGAACTGCGAAAAGGATGCCCATTTTCATTTACTCCCAGAGTGGATGGGAGAGTGGAGGAGTGTCGAGTGTCCTGACGCTGACGATTTTTAGCCCCTGGAAATAATTGAAATGCATCAAAGCTCAATACATTAGTCCAAATTTTTAAATTAATGTTTCCGCAAAGCATACAGAAGAGATCTTCAGACCGATTAATTTGTATCTCAAATTTGGATAAATCGATTTATAAGGATCCTCGATCTCTTCAAGACAAAGTGATAAAATTTGTCAAAATTTAAAATTTTCTTGATTTCGTGATATGAGCAGTAAAATTATATAATTTTGGAAGAATTTTTTGGTCTCCAGGTCCAGATGATTTTCAATATTAATGAATTCAAATTTCGGTTTTAGTTTTTGACCACCTTTTGATCAAAGGCTTCATGTTAATGTTTTCTTGTAAATTATACGTATATAACAGCACAAAATTTCCTCTAGTCGTGTCTGCATATTTTTTTAATACATACATTCAAATGGCCATCTTTACTGAAAACAAAAACTATAAATTCACTCCATTGTTCATTTTTCTATATTTTCAGTTGGAAACAAATGAAGTTCATCAGCATTTCTATATTTCCTTGTTCAACTAGTTTGGAATTGAATTCTGCCTTTCTTCGATGTTTTTTCACTCTTTCATTGTTTTGTAGTAAAAAATACAATATCCTGCTCTTTATGTTTTGGCTGCTGGCTGCAAAAACCCACCAAAAGAAAAGTCAAATTTAAACACCACAAAGTCAAATATTCATTGTGAAATTCTACTTACAAAATTCTTTATTCCGCTTTATTCTAGTATACGAAATTACTTTATAAAGATAAAAATGAAAATATATCCAATTTAGCTCAAGTTAAAATAAATATTAAATTTGGTTAGCTATAGATAATTTTAAGTCACATTTAAACACATTTGAGTTGTATTTATGGTAGTTAATTAAATTCATTGAGTAAAAATTTATTGGTCACACCGGAGTAGAATTTCAGCCAGACTTCATTCGCCATAAATTAGATTGATATACTGAGTCATTATTACTGGGAGGCAGAACTGCATAATGTATTCATTTGATTAAAAAGCCGGTTGCCGCGAGATAATGAATCAATTAAAATGCTGATCACCGCGCCACAAATAACATTGTGTGTGCTGAGCTGTCAGTCGCACCAGCCGTACGTCGGTTGTGAACAATGTCCGTCTGTGCAACCTATGGTTGACAATTGCAGATTCCACAAATGTTTGTTGCTACGTACGTATCGCAATAATTGCCAAAGGGCCGCTTTGTGACGGCTCTGAATCAAAACAATTACGCTGCGGGCCCTCTTTGAGTTTGGGCGCTCGCTGCAGACTCGGAGGCGAAATTAATTTATTGAGCGCCGGCCGCGCCAGCTCCCCCGTTTGTTTTGCTTCTATTAACAATTTACTATAATTACATCAGCAACAGAGTGCTGCTTCAACGCAATGGCGCTAATTTACCCAAATGCGTAGTAAATTTCTCGCAAATAATTTGTATAAATTTATAAAAGCTTCAAATAAGAGCGATATGTATTTGTTTTAATATAAAAGTTAATTTTTTACACAGGGAAGTAAAGCTACAGCTTAAAAAATACATTTAAAGAATACAAAATTTAAGAAAAAAACAACTTTCTAGTATCACTTTTATATTATATTTAAATTGACTTAAAAGTTCGAATAATTTTTTTCTATTTTTATAATTTTTGTTTAACTTGATACCAAATATCTTTTGAGGTAACTTGCTTAAATTTTTATAGCACATAATTAAATATACATGTATAATATTTATTTAAAGTAACTATAACAGTGGATAGATGCACAATGATGATTACACAATTCGTTGTTCTAGTTGTTTGAGCAAATTAATTGTAACTATTATTTATATACTGATGAAGTTCTTAGTTTAATAGCAATTTGTATCATAAAATCTTTGAGTAGGTCTATTAAGGTTCTTTGCTGTTTTCGTCTCTGAAATTTTCATATTTCACGGATGGACGATTTCCGTGATATTTGAGAACCACTTCTGGCGAAATGGGCACCAGACTTTTTTTGCAGAGTTTATCAGCCGAAGCAATGAAGCGCAGGATTTACTGCTTTCTAATCAAGATAAATTTGCGCCTGCAGCGTGGAAAGTGCGATAAATAAAATCTGCGATAACAACACGGCCGTAATATTTTATTGAAAGCGCGTGAAATATTAGATTTTTGTTTACCATTTAGCTTTAGATATTGATGTTGTTGGCGGAGAGATTTGAATCCAAAACGCATGCTGACGCGGCGTGATAGTCTATTTTTGCATTTGTACCAAAACACATTTGCTGCGCGAACAAAATTTTTGCCCAACCAACATTGGCAGATTCTGAATAAAAGCATCGGCCGCCGCTGAAATTAATTTCTCTGATGCGTGTTTGAATAAAATACGTGTCGTTTGATGTGCGGATCCGCGAATTGGATGAAATGGAATACAAAAAGCCGCAGCTCAAAAACAGCCTTTCGGCACCAGTTCAAACAGACAAATCGATTCGTCGTCTTTTCGGATCAAACAGCTGAAGTAGAGTAAATTGACTTTCGAATGCGTATCAAAGGGTGAAGGTGTGTGGAAGAGAATTAAATTGAGTCTCCCAATCATTTTCTTTTTTTTCATCTCGAAAAGGATCTGTGTGGACTGTGCGTAATTGAAAACGTTCAATTTCAGCTGTGGAAAAATCTTTAATTTTTAAACCTAATTGTAAGAAAATTTCATTAAATTAGGAGCGCTTAAATTTATGATTTACATAATGTTGTCATGGTTTTAGAGATTTCAGGATAGAAAATTGAAGAAAATGATTGAATAGATTAATAGGCTCTATATTTTGTTGATTTTAATTGCTGATTTGTAATCGTCCAAAATCTTTACATCTACAAAGATAAATAATTGTTGGGAGGCAGAAATTTAATTGTTGGTAAAAAACAAAGATATATCACATTATAGAATTTTATAATAAACGTTTGTACAGCTAAAAACAGTCTTCTGTTTGATTAATTTTCAAACGAGTTTTTTTATCACTTATTTGTTGGAGTCGAATGAAAGAGAGTGATTCAATAATTCAATATAACCTAATGGAAGCACCGCACACTACTTTTTCCCAGCTCGGCGTGATCCAAAACAAACTGGCACTGCTGGCATTTGGGAAAGGAATTTGAGCGAAAGGGTTATTTGTTAGGTTGGCGGACGCCAGCAGTCGGCGGCGAAAAGGACCGCACAGTAATGGCCATTCTCCCTCATGGGTGGATTTGTGGGACAAACTCAAATCTAGAGACGCATCGGCTCGCCAATTGCAAAGAAGTCGTACCAGAGCTTAATGTGC